GGAAGGAAGCGGGGTGGGGGGAATAAGATGGCCTTTGGGGAGTCTCCACGAGAGATGTGGGTTTTAAGGGCGACCTCAGGTCATACAAAACTAATCAAGCGAAAACAATAATAAAATTAGCCTGACAGTCAGCCAGTAAGTATCTGAAGACTTTATCCAAGAAAAAGAAAAAAAGAGGAGGAGGAGAAGGAGGAGAATTAGGAATGGGCAAATTCACTGGGAGCAAAGGATCAAATCCGCAAGGTGGCATTGTGCAAGGGGTGGGTGGGTGTGAGGAAAGGATTAAATTATTTATTCATTGTTAATTTATTTATTTATGTATGTGCAAATGACTTAGCTGCTGCAGGTGCTGAGAGGACTTTCTGAAAAGGCCCCGTTTTAGAGCCAAGGCTAAAATATTGGTCCATTTAACTCATTATTTTCCTTGAGGCGATCAAAACATTTGACTTTTATGTAGGAGATAGAGAAGGGGAAAACCATATGTGTACCAGGGGATTCACGCTGAGCAGACTGAGCCACACTAAGAACCAAAGTTTTTCACTTGTATTCAGGAACAAGGGGGGGGGAGCACTTTGTGGTAAAGTTGCATGTCTAGCAAATTAGCAAATGAATGCTTATGTCAACATGTGCGCACATGGGGGGGGGACCCCAATTTGTTTAAACAGATAAAAAAAAGGGAAAAAAACCCTTGGGAATATGTGGAAAATATGGGCATTTCCTGTGTTCTTTTCCTTTTTTTCTTCAACAAACACCAAAGAACAATTTTACTCAAGAAAACACATCTGCACTCATATATGACAATATTCTAGAACTGCGAGACAAGAAATATTTATTGGGAGCTTGTTTTGGGAGCATGCTTGCTGTTTGGGAGAGATATAACAACAGGAGTCCATTTTTAACCCTCTGTTTAAAGGCACAAATTAAGAAGTCTGGCACTAAAGGTCTAGAATGGATTGATCCATCATTAGCATTCTACCACCTTCTCTCCAGAGGGATGAGGATGCGTGAAACAGACTGCTATTTTATTTTCGTCCCATGTTTTTAGCACTTGAAATTGTCGTCTTCTGTTTCTTTGACCCGATAGACACGGCCTTTGCAGACTGCCAGAAATAGTGCACATTAAATTGAGGCACTGCCCTGGCTCAGTGCTAGGGAGTCATGGGAATTGTATTTTTTTCTGAGACATTGAGCCTTCTCTGTCAGAGAGCTCTGGTGCCACAATAAACTACAGTTCCCATTATTCCCTAGCACTGAGCGAGGACAGTGCCTCAATTTAATGTGCACTATTTCTGTCAGTCTGCAAAGGCCCTGAGTAGAGCATGTCACAGAGTAGGACACCACACCTGCAGTATGGTGTAGGACATTACCCTTGAGGGGATAGCTCAGCATGGAGGGCTGGGTAGAGGAGAACAATATAAGGCAAGAAGTCACATCTTGGGGGGGAAAGGCAACCGTATCATTCATCGAGTGAATGCTCTGTAAGGAGGAACCTGCTGCTTTTGTGCACAGATGTACTGAAAGACGGAAAGGCTGGAGAATTTTCTGCAAATACAGATGCTTAATAAAACACTACTAGGGCAGGAGGATACAGATGAATGGGGAAATGCTGCTACTTAGGGGGGTTGCAGACTGCCAG